ATCTTTGGAGGAGCGATTCAGTGAATTTCAAGTGGGATAGTTTAGAAATAAACATTGGAGTGTGAAGAAGTTTAAACATTTGTTTGAATATGAGTGACAATATTCTTTCTTGGGTAAATTTGGAGATTTGAAATAACGAAGAGTTATAATTATGTTGCCTATAAAGAAATTTGCAAGACAAACACAACCGTCAACGACGTCTCTCCTCACCCGTCTGCCCGCGTTCGGTTCGCGTTTTCGGCGATGGCGCTTCATTGCTCAGACCGCCCCTATACCCCGTGCATCGTCCCTCGTCGTCTTACAGTAGACGCGACGCGCAATGTTTCACTGCGTTGCGTCAAGTTAATCTTATCGTGATAACTTTTAAATGATTCGTCCAAATCACTTAGTGTAAAAGACAAAGTTTATCTATATTGAATACTCAAAACGACAATAGGCTTGTTTCATGCTGTGGAAAAAGATACTGGTTTGCTTATAGACTGATCGAGTTAGGGGTATATTATACTTATCAAGCCTAATCGGTCCCAAAATCTCTTTATATTTGCAGGAAAAAGAATAATTCGAAAATCAAGAATTTAAATTGGCCGCGTGTCTGTTGACCAATAAAATTGATCGTGTCTAGAGCGGAGTTGCCAAGTATATTGGTTTTTAATATCCAATCACAGATCTGATGATCCAATTTGACAGACGCCATTTTTGTTGTTATTGTTGTCAACTCGGTGTGAATACAACTGTTACAATTATCTAATTAAATAACGGTTTTTTGTAAAAGGTAGGTCTTGACCGGTACCTATTTTGCTGCATATTCCGTGTCATTAGTTTACATTCCGAAAAATATTTTTCCACGTTATTTTTGGATTGATATGTTATGGAGTAATTCTACATTTCACTGTAGATATTTTTGCTTCTCTTTTCAGTCACCATACTGCTCCTTCGCCGAGATAAAATAAATAAATCAAAACTTTCCATCCTTCGATGAAAGACAAAGTCTGAAATGAATGTCAATAAATAAAAGGGACCTACTAAATATACCACCTACCGTTTCAATTTCTCATTCTTCATTTCGGTACCAAAGTATTGCAAATTTTTCAAGTAAAATTCATCGATCATTTTAAAATCGACTCTTGGTAAGTTGTCGGGTGTCAGCTTTAATAAAACTAGGCTCAGCATTCATTTCGAAATTATTTTAACAAAAATACGAAAATATGTGTGGAAACCATCAACATTAGAAAGAGTACATTATCTCATGCACTACAGAGGGCGTTGGCTGACTGGATGACAATATGGCTAATATACCAGTAACGTTGAATTTCTTATTTCTGGTGGATGGCATGAATGCATAATTGATTTAGTTCATTAGGCTTCATGAGCATTCGAAAACCATTTGAAAATACAGCTCGTTTAATTATATTCTGAATAATATTTAGATTTACTTGTTTGCTGGCTTTATTCTTTAAAAAAAATTAATGAAAAGTTACAGAAAAGTTCAATTGATCGTTCATTTTCTCAGGAAAATGGAGTACCCATATCACAATCTATTGGTTTATTTGGCATTGAAAATGTATGTCATATCGGATCCATTCTGCTTGTTTTTGCAACATTGACTTTCAACTTTTTCTTAGCTGACAGCTCGCGTAGGAACAATTCGTTTTTTCATCGAGTTTGGTTTGTGTATGTTTTAAAAGTGTTTTAGAGATATATTTGAATATTAATATGGTGCATTCTAGTGCTGTGGTCTGGCCTATGGAGTCTAGTCACAAGGACGGGCCTAGACAAGGAACTCTAGCATACATGAGGGCACACACAATAGACCTGCAGAAGTCGCAGTGTAGTGGCTGTTCAGCACAGAAGCCCCATATTAATCTAATCTAATCTAGGCTCCGTAAAGTATACGATTTGGCGATGTTGATCATTTTCTATTGTTCCTATTGGTCAATTGAACAAGAAGCGGGAATAGGGTCGTGACGTCACCACCCTACCACATTCGATTTTTAATAATTAATTACGGGAAAACTACAGTAGGTACTTAGAGAGATGAAACAAAGTGCACTGTTTTTCAATTTAAAATTTCTATCAAGTGAACTATAAACAAAAAATCATGAAACAAGCCCATTGTATCAATTTTAATTAGAATTATTTGACAGATATTCTAAAATGTGCACTGTAAAACAGTATCCAATTTAATTGTAATTATGGCTCACTATTTTGCATATAGTGGCTACCACTAGGTAGATATATACTATTGCAGACTTTCATTTAGAACTATTCAAGATGAAACAAACATCTTACGGTACATTAATCTACTTGTAACGACAACGGTATAGGCAGCGCACGACAAAATAGTTTAGTGAGCAAGAAGTTTTTCGACTCACTTAATACTTATCGTTATATTATGACCAAAATTACACAAAACCTTTATAAATTGTAGCCTATATGTTATTCTGATGTATAAGCTGTATTTATGTAAATTTTCATGTAAATCGACGCCGCCTACAAAAATATTATTTTTGAAAACAGTAAATAAAAAAAAAATCAACTTGTTTCGAGAATTTTTATAAAAATTGTGTATTCAGCTAATGAAATTTAATCAGATCAATGATCTGAAAAGGAAAAGAATAACTTTTCTCAGAAAATGTTTGAAAACAGTTTTTTGTTAATCTGCTGTCGCCTCCCTACAAAACAATTATTTTTTTCATTCATCAAAACTGCAATTCTTTTTTCGACAGGTGTTTCACAAACCAAGTTGGCGTCCTCAGGCGTCTTCATCACCTGAAGACGCTAACTTGTTTGATGAAACGTGCGGCGAGAAGATTATTGCAGTTATGGTGATTGAAAAAAGTGCTTGCTTTAGATTTATTCTATGCCGTAAGTTCCAGTTTCACCTTCTATTAGCGATAATCATTTGCAGAACCTTCAAAATACAAAAACTGCAATGGGGAATGTTCCTCCTGACGAAAATCAAGTAGTTTTCATAAAAGAGCTTTAAAACAACGCATTTTAAACTTATCATTTCAACCTTTTTCTTTAAAAAATTATTTAAATACTTAAAAAAGAGGAATGAAATAATGCATTCAACATTTAAAGGGATTCGTTCCTATTTCACCATTTGGCAACATCGGTTGCCATCGGCTAATAAAGGACAATGAGACAAACAAAGATGACATATTTCAGAGGCGTGCTGTTCTGTTTACTTATGATCCGAGTTCCGAGACATTCTGTGCACCTAACCTATTTTCCTCTTTATAAATAAATAACAAAACAACTGTTGTTTATGTGGCTTTATATTTTGCCTTAATTGTTGATTTATGAAGATAATTTTCCTTTTTTAAAGTAGAATATCTAGGTACGTATAAATTATTTCAACTTGATATAGGCGCTGTTGCCAATATGTGAATTAGAAACAAATCCCTTTAAAAATAAAAACCCAACATTTGAAACATCAATTTGAATACTTTTCGAAGTGAATTTGAAAAACTCATGAATTAAACTCAACTTTATTTTGTTCAAACTTGCATTTGCTGTAATAACCCAAATTCAGGAACATTCCCCATTATTACATTTTATTTCTAACCTGTTGCATTCAATAACCACGAAAAGGTTATTTTAAATTGTTATTCTGGTTCCTCGGGTAACTCCATACTTCCACTCTCCCGATTTTGCAATACTTATTTCCACTCTCCAAAATCAGTATCTTCTTGAAACAACAAATATTTCATGAGCTTCACTCGTTAAATAAAATGCTATATAGGCCATCGTGTAGGCCAGCCCCTGTGGTTATACATCCCATGCGAAGTCTAAGCAGCGTCGATACCAAAAAAGCCTTAGGCCAAATTCATTCCAAACTTCCTCAGGGAGACTCCCTAGTTCAAAGAACTGAGATAAAAAATAAGGATGTATGAGAAGGAGGCGTTCTAATATTATTCGACAATTAAATTCCAGAATGAAATTTAATGTTGAAACGGGTAGGTACGCTGAATGGAGCAAAAAACAGAGGTAACACAAAATTTATTTGTATAGGGTCATACATTGAGCGCTTCATATCTTTGAATTTAAATAGTTTTAAGTATGTGTGAGATATCATCGAAATTTTTTATTCGTTTAAAAGACCTATTGATGCCATTATGTATGGAATATAACATCATTCAAATGTTCGCCACGTACATCCTCTCCGTAGTCCCCGCATCGTCCTCTTTTGAGATGAACCATTGCACATTTGTCTATCCCGAATTTCATACCGATAGCATGCGTGTACTCTTCCACCACCCACAAGGACTAATAGATATCCTTCTATCCAGAGGCATAAAGTTCAAGATCATCCATATAAAACAAATGGGTGACCTTGTGCCTCCGGTTTCCGGGGGTGCCACAGTTATACCCCCGAGTATTTCTGAGCGCAATTTATAATGGCAATAGTGAGATGCTGAAGAGAAGGGGACTGAGGGAATCGCCCTGAAATACACCCCTTCTGAAAGTGACCCACCCTGTTTGGACTCTGGCTTGACCAGATGTGGTATCAGTGAGTATCAGTGAGTGGTATCAGTTGTTCAATGAATCTCACTATTTTGTCGGGTACCGCAAAGCATCTGAGCAAATGCAAGATGATCTCATGCGATATTGTATCAAATACCTTACGGTAATCGATCCAGTCCATAGAGAGGTTACGCTTATATTGTATCGATTCCTGCGTTACACATCTATCGATGATCAGGTTCTCTTTATATCCAGCGACTCCTCTCTTATTATCATTACTATTATTATTGAAATATCTACCAATAGGTTAACAGACAGGCAAACCTGTTTATCCTCCGTACTATAAATAGTTCCACTCCAATATCCTTCCATGCCAGGTTGACACTATTAGAAATCTTAAGCTAGTTTGAAAATAATTCTCAAGATTATCCCAAGATTCCGAACGCGATAAAAACTCTCGCCTGATTCCGGTCCTGTTTCATTTCTGTAAGAAGGTCATATCCGTCGACATGCAGAATCAAATTATCTATTACTCTATTAAAACGACTCATAACTGTTTTTACCGTGGTCTACACCGATAACAACAACAATACGCGCACTCCATCCAGCAATCGAATTTCGATACATCTCCTGCACTTGTTTGCCGTTCTTTTGTTTCTTCGGCGGCACTCTCACAGCAATGTTGATACGTTGTGCGTCGCGACCCTTAGCGCTAGGGGCGAGGGCGGTATCCGCGAGTTCCTCGAAACCGTGTGCCGGGGCAGCCGCGGTGTCGAAGAGGGAGGACTATTACAAAACGTTGGGCGAGCATGTGGACGAGTCTAAGCCTCCCGGTTGGGATTCCGCGCGACCTTTTGAGGAAATTCCCGGCCCCAAGCCGCTGCCTATTGTGGGAAATTTGCTGAGGTTCATGCCTTTTGTCGGGGAGCTGTACAAGACTCCAATCTTGGGGATGTTCCAAAAGTGAGTTGGAAACTGCGAAAGGTTGACAAGCATGATTTTATTGTGATTGTTGTTGTTTTTGTTTGTGTCTGATTTTACTTCTATCACGAAATTTTACTGAAAAACACGCAGGTCCTTAAAAGACTACAATATGAAAGGTCCACTGCAATAATGATGAACGACCTTTGTTTCTCGAGCAACTAGATTTATGTAGATCTCCACTCTTGAATGTAATGACTGTTTTTTTGCTGGTATCTTTTTGGTAACACTGTTTTTGACAGATCACGCGTGAATCGTGTCATTGTCAAACTTGTTCAGTTTGGTCTATGTCTATACTTTAACCATGAATCGACTTACGAATGAACAACGCATTCAAATTCTTGAATTTTATTATCAAAATTCATGCTCGGTGAAGAAAGTGCACCGTGCACTTCTTCCAATTTATGGGCAGTTTCGTCTGCCTACTGAGGGAGCTATTCGGAAGCTTGTGACTAAATTTCGAAACCAGTTTACATTATTTGACATTAAACCACCAACACGCAAACTTAGAGTGAGGACCGAAGAAAATATTGTGGCTGTATCCGCCAGTGTTCGTAATGACCGTGAAATGTCGATTCCCCGCCGTTCGTTTTTAATTAACATTTGGATCTCTAATTGCGATCAACACTGAACTATGTAGAGTAACACTCTAAAGATGGTGTAATTTTTGTTTTGACCTTCATATGAGTCACAAAAACATATAAGAGCCTGGCACTGTTCGTCTATTTCATAAAATATGAAATAGAGCAGATGAGAGGCCATATCATCTGATCTTTTTTGCCCAAAACTTTCATCATATGCGAAAAAATATGATGAGAAATCAGCATGATTTCGAACCTTCAGTGTAGTAATACCTGGAGTTTTTTTACAACACCACACCGTTATTTTAACACCTTGACACGTGTAGGTTGTGTTTTGTCCTTGAAAAAAAAAACAGAAAAAACAGACCTCGAAATGTGACAATGTCTGTCGATCGTTCAAATTGTGGGGCATCCGGTATATTAAAAAAAGTCTAGCTTCAATAAAAAAATCTCAAGGTTCAAAAGCACTGGCCAGTACATCGAATGCCTATGTTCTTGAGAAAATGCATAATATTTACGAAAGTCAACTTGTGGATAACAAATTACATTTTGAATTCTTTTCGATATTGATTAAAGGAAAGTCAATTAATATTTAGATGAATCAATGTGACAGAACCGCATTCAGCAATGTGCAATCTGCACGAGTTGAATAATATTTTTAGTTTCGTAATTGTTAATAAACATCCGTCTGATTCAAGTTGATGAATAATTATTTAAACCGGATAGAAATCACCAGTTATGGTAATATTGTTGTTCAACGTTATTTCAAAAATAATGTCATCAACAACAAAACACATATTATTATTTGTAGACCTTCCAGTTAACAGAAGTATTAAATATCCATTTGGAAATGGACAGAGTTGGACTTGGAATGCTCAGAAATTTTTTTAGGCGGTGTATTGCTATCTAGTCAAGAAAGGAATATAAACGTTGAATTTCGGAAAGTAATTACGGAACACAAGATTTTACAGAAGCTTTTAATATTTAGGTATTTTTTGAAAATTATGATTTTGAATTTCGAAATTTTGACTTTTATCTCTAACTTTCGACTCTCCAAATTACGATTTTAATCGCGTAATTTCGAATTCAACATCGTAATTTGGAATTTCAGATCGAAATTTTGGGATTAGACTCGATAGATTACTCGAAATGTTGAGTTTAATCCTGGATATACAACTTTAATCTCGTAATTTTGAGTTTAAAGTCGTAATTTTGAATTAAAAAGTAGTTACTTTGAGTTTAAAGTCGAAATTTTGAAATTAAGTCGAAAATCCGAGATAAAAGTTGAAAGATTACCCGAAATTTCGACTTTATTTTCAAAATTACGATTTTATTCCCGAAATTTCGACTTCAAACTCGAAATTACGCTATTTAAAGCCGTAATTTTGAATTGAAAAGTTGAAATTTTGAGTTTATTCCGATGTGAAAGTCAAAAGATTGCCCGAAATTTCGACTTTATTTTCAAAATTACGATTTTATTCCCGAAATTTCGACTTCAAACTCGAAATTACGCTATTTAAAGCCGTAATTTTGAATTGAAAAGTTGAAATTTTGAGTTTGATGTTGAAATTCCGATGTTAAAGTCGAAAGATTACCCGAAATTTCGACTTCATTTTCGAAGTTACGATTTTAGGAATTTCGACTTTAATCTGGAAATTTTGACTTGAATCAAACTTGAAACGAATAATAAAAATACGTAGCCCATTCGTAAGACTTTACAACTGTACAAGATTTTCTGAACAACTTTACACAATCGTAAACACACTATGAAATATTAATAGAAATTAAATACGCCTGAGATTATTTTCCAACCTTGTGTATAATACCACAGATTAGATAATATTTGATTATATTTGAAATAGTTTCAAAATAATCTAAAAAGTTCAATGTTACTGATGTTATATTTTGTAAAATACCTCGGTTTTTCACGACTGTCATGTTCCGACAAAAAATTAAAGTCAAAATATCACTGCAGTGGCCCTGATTTTTTTTCTTTCAAATTTCAGATTCAGGGAACAATATGGAGATGTGGTAATCCTGAAAGGTATTCCCGGGCGGTCAGATTACGTATATATTTACGATACGAAGGATATTGAAAATGTAGGTTGTTACTCTTTATTTTTTCCCTGAAGATCTGTAATATTTGCTGAATTTCACTTTATTCCAAGATCCCAAAGCCAAAGTGTCATATTATAAAATAGAAATGGTAGTTACCACTATGCCCCCCCCCCTCGACGTTGACTGCCTGATGGAAGACTACACTTATTGATATGTTACCATTTTATAACAGATGTAAAAATTACAGCTTCTCAGGAATTCAGGAACCTTTCCAGTGAGGAGAGTATTGGACGTTTTCGTCTATTACCGTACTGTCGCTAGAAAAGACATATTTCAAGGTATCGGAGGGGTGTTAACAGTGTAAGTAATTCCAAATAAATGCAAGTCATTATCAGAACTTTCACAACTTATCCAGAACTAGTTCAGAGCCAGATAGAACAGTGCTGGACTGTTCGCCCATTGAAATGTAAGGCCCTGAAAAGCCCTAACCTAAAAGTTTGTAGTAAGCTATGAAATACAGTTAGTTGATGAGTTCTGAAACATCCTGAGGTCGTAAACATGTCTGCTCTTTCATTTTCGGGTAACTTTTTCACATGAAATATATTTATGATGTCACTTATCCATAAGAGAAAGTCATTAACTTTTTCTTCTCGAATAAAAAGTAGGGTATTGTGAAACTTTGATCGTGTAATAAGTGGATATATTATATTTTTCGTTGAATTTTAGATACCAAAACACATGTGTTTTCGTATGAAAGGGGAACCTTACCATCTTTCAGAAATAACCTTTTAAGGCCAACAGAGCCAAGCCATTTGAAGGAAAAGTCGTTAAAATTAACTGCTTGATGCTAAGAAATTCGATATTTTGAAACATTCAACCTCATAATTCATTTCATTATCTTTCGTTAAGGGTCGAAAATATGTCATCTATTCTGTATACCCCATTTAGAATAAAAGTCCAAAAAGCAATTAAACGTATAATAAATATTAAAATTTATGTTCCGACATGATAAAATTAATGTCTAGCGTAGTCTACATACCACTATTCGAAACAGCAAAAATATCAAACTGATCCTTGCAGTGACATCTATATATCAGTAGCAGACTCACGACATTAGAAATGTCGGGAACTAGACGGTAATTCTTGCGGACTTATCCGCTGGACATGTAGAGGACGTTAAGAGTACCAGTTTCGGAAATAATTTCAGACTTTCTGATTGGTGGGAATTTTTATGAGATTATTTGAATTACATCCCCTAATAGAGTTAAGGTGGAAATTTTTGGGCGAATAATATTCGCCCAAACAAGTATTGGCGAGTATCTATTTTAATTTTGTAATAAGTAAAGAACTATATAAAGACAACACAACAAAAAAATGCCTTCAACTTCAAAATAATTCACTACATAAAACAGAATTAACGGAGTTGCAACCTTTCTCCATCACGCGTGTCGCATAAAAATACCAATGGTAAGCTATCCTTAAAAGATGGATATATGCTATTCCAGACTTTTCGTGCACCTATACAAGAAGAACAATATGTATTAAATTGTCCGGTGTTTCCGGTTCAGTTCAGTTCAAAAACTATATGGGAGGAGCAAGAACGAATTCAATATTTCAAACGAATCATCTGGTGTTATTTGCCTGCATTTCTCTTCAAACTTCTCATTGTTTAGGGCATTGCAATTGTTCCTAATTCAACCTACTACTATTCAGATAATTTTGAAGTAATATGGTGAATCTGTTCCAAATCCCCTCAGACAAGGAGAAGATTGGTTCAAAATCAGAACCGTAGTTAATCCTATCCTGATGCAGCCGAAAACCGTCCAACAGTACATGTCCAAGCTAGATGGTGTAGCAGGTGAACTAGCAGAAAACATGAGGCATTTCTCGAGACTCAACGAAACCCATCAGATGCCGGACGATTTCGTGAACGAGCTGTACAAGTGGGCTCTGGAATCAGTCGGTATCATGGCTCTCAATAAGCATTTCGGTAAGCGAACAGACATATTGGGCCCAGGATGGAGCCTTGAGGTACTTTCTGTGTGGGGTTTATTTCGAGCGACTCGTTCTTTTACAGGTTGTCTGGATTTGACGACACCGCAAGATTCCGATCCGAAGAAACTAGTAACTGCCGTTTTAAATATGTTCAAACACTTGTATCTGATAGAAACTTCCCCACCGCTTTGGAAGTTCATCAGCACGCCGTTGTACAAGAAATTCGTCAAAAATTTGGATTTCATAACAAGGTATTTGCTTTCTCTCGAATTAACATATTTAAATGCCTAAGGTTGATACTAAACCAGTTGTAATGAGCTAAATTTCGAAAAATGAAAGGTTATTAACAGAGAACTAGATTGTTACGCCTACATTCACTGTCTCCGCCAATCAGCGTACGTAACAATATATAAATCGTAGCAGAGTTTTGCAGCGAGAGGACTTGCTGTTTAATGAACATAAATGAGGCTCCCGTTTTTACTCAGGCTTGTTCTTCAAAGACAGTTGAGTCCAGCAATGCACTTATAGTTAAGCCTCACACCACTGATGAGACCTAAAGTGGGTCGAAACTTTTTGGGTTATACTAATGATTCGTTTTTCAACTGGCCATTGATTTTTTTTTCTGAACAGCTCATTATTTTTGATTTTGCCTCTTTTTATGTTTTGAAAGTGATGACCATTTGAAGACCTGAAAAAAATCATTCATTTTTAGCATCATTGTGAAGACTATAGACGAAGCCTTAGCTGAACCCATCGACGAGTCAGTGCCAGAGCACCAACTCAGCGTCCTTCATAGACTTGGAAGAAAAGACAAGCGAATAGCCTTCACCATGGTGATGGACATGCTGATTGCCGGATTAGATACGGTCAGCGAAAATTACAGAAAGCAATACTACCTTTCCACGAAATTAAATTTGACTGCAAATTCATTTCCAGACCGGTAAAACCCTAGGGGCGATCCTCTATTTCCTTGCCAAGAATCCGGACAAGCAGGCCAAGCTGCGAGAGGAGATTTTCGAAGTACTTCCCGAGAAGGACTCTGTTGTTACCGCGGAGGGCTTGGGGAGGATGCCCTACTTGAAGGCGGTCATTAGGGAATCTAACAGGATTGCTCCGGTCGCCGTGGGGACTGTCAGGACTACGGTGAAAGAACTGGTGCTAGGAGGGTACCAGATTCCAAAGGGGGTAAACTAAAATGGCTTTTATAACTTTTACCACTTGTTACATTACCAGGGACATTTCATCATCGATTCATTGGGTCTATTTGAATATTCAAGGATGAGATTTGGTCTAGGAAATCCACGTAAGACTTGGCAAAGATATGGTAATCCGATTTCCAATTATTTGATTTCAATTTTCCCTCATAAAGTAAACATATCGGGAAGGTGAAGGTATATTTGGCGAATTGTGAAGCATTTGATTTCATTCAGGTACTAGTACCAACAATTTTAAAACCTTACGTTAGTGGTATTGCGGGGTTTGAGACCTACAATGCTTTGCCCAAAGCCAGTGGGATAAAGAGCTTTTGGAGTGTGCTTTTTTTTCTTCGGTAACTTACAGGTCAGTTCTTAACTAAACTATCAACTTTTTGGTAGCACTCCAAAACATAATATTTTTGATTTTTTGTATATGTTTTCACGTAAAGGGTATATTTCGCTTTCCACCTTCTGATAACACTAACTTCCTATTTCTGGAGAACAGGCAATTTCTTAATGAATTCAGATTTCACAACAACAAACATTTTTCTTAGAAAATATGTTTTCAGTATGGTAAGATCACATCGGCGCCGATTTTAATGAAGAAAACTGCAAAAATGAATGAAAAATAGATTCAAGACCATTCAAACGCACAATTCAAGCTGCAGGATGTAACACTAAAGTAGACAAAATTTCTATTTTTCTATCGGAATTGAAGAAGATACACTGCTTTTCATCTTCCCTTTATATTTTAGACCAACGTGACGGTCGTTTCGATTTGCACGTCGAATTCTTCGGAACACTTCAAGGACCCGGAGAAATACATGCCGGAACGTTGGCTGCGAGATACAAACGATGAATACTCCTCCAAAAACGTACATTCATTCGCAAGTCTTCCATTTGGATTCGGGCCCAGAATGTGTGTAGGCATGAGATTCGCTAGTTTGGAACTGGAGTTGGTTCTTGTGAAGGTAAGCAACAAGCAAAGTTCAATATGAAAGTTGTTTTCACTAAATTGTTGTTTCGGTACCGTCAGCCGGAAAATTAGCCACTTCCTAAATTTCAATTTTTGACAAGAAAAGTTTCTTTGGAATATTTTATCCTGTAGGCCTTTTCAACTGCAATAAATGGTTACAAATCAGTTAACTTTTTCTATTTTGTTCCAGATTATAAGGAATTTCGAACTGTCCTGGGAACATCCCGATATGGAGTTTGCTTCACATTTGTTGTATGGAATAAACAATCCGTTGAAACTAACCGTAAAAGAGTTGACCAGATGAAGTATGTGTCATATATTAGAATACAGAATTGCATAATTTGTATAGATTAGATGGAGTTTTGATGAAGTGGTTTTGTTTCACGCAGGTTATGTCATGCCATCTGCTAAAGAACTACTCTTCACCAAACACTGGAATCTTTGATATTATCCTGTGATTTTCTGAAATTAAACGTCAATAGATAGTAGCATAAAAACTTTAGATCAATAGTTTTGACTAAGTATATGGACTATTCGTTTCAAACAGACAATAGTTCTTGAGTTATCCCATTTTTTGTCGAAATAAATCCGAAACGCTACCGCCATCTAACGTATGATAGTCACACTCAAATGCTATTAGCAAAATTATTGGTATACACATAAAAGAAACTGCACTCTCAATTTGAAAGTTCTTAATAAGGTTGTTAGTTTTGTCTAATACATAACAGATGGCGCCACCAAAATGGTATTTTGTATTTTTCTTCACTTTAGTCACATTTTCAATCAAAAAGAGTTTGAAGGCAACAATTGTAGTTTGAAAGCAAATTTGTTCATAAATTACCACTTACAGTCGTAGTGTTCACTGAAAATATCCGATCCAAACTAATAGTGGCGATAAAACGGTTGAAACAAAATCAAATAAATAAAACAAACAATCGAATTAACTTCAACATGATTCACTATTAAAAACATTCCAAAAATATAACAAATTTGATAAAATTATCAATAATAAATATAAATCAACTTCAACTATGGTCTTAATCTTACAAGTAGGTGAAACTTCAATCATGAAGTTCCGTACTTGCCGCTCTCGAAGATGCCTTTCCGAAAAAACGGCGAGAAGCTGACCAACGCGGCCTTGGTGACAGGCTCGCCATACGCGAGCGGACACGAAGAGAGACTCCTGCACGTCTCGATGAGCCGAATGAGGTAAGTCTCCAACTGCCTTTTCCTGGACTGCGCCACCGTTTCGGTGGTCGAGAAGAGGGTTTTCGACGGGAAAGGAAGGGAAGCCACCTGAAAGATAGTTTTGACAACGTTGAAACCACAGATTACGACATTTAAATAAGCATCCTGACAGTTTCCCGCTTTTTTTGTTCGCTTCCTAAGACTTCCACCTGAGCGCTGTAGTATACATTGATTGTGCTATTGCTAAAGAGATGGCGGTTGGTACAATTGATATAATTAGTTTTGCTATTTGACATTAATTTAGAATCCACGTGTTGTGTCGCCAGTGAAATACAATTCTTGGTTGTGTGTGTGTGATTTTTTACTATAAACACGCTTTTATTAGCTTCACCTGTAGGTATGTTTGTTTACTTGCAACTCTCAAGCTCGGGAACTGTATTTAACAGAATTATCCACATTATTGCTTGATCTATTCGCGGGCAGATGGCGCTGACGCACCTGACGATTTGATCTCCACAACTTTGTGGATATCAAATCGTGAGGTGTAGTTTTTGAAATTACTACGGATCTTCATCCAGTAACGGCCGAATCAATCAGAAAAAAAAAATTACATCTGATATTGCCTTGGCATGAACATTGTAATTGACTCAAGCTTATAATGAAAGAATAAATTTCAGTGGTTTTTGCTACATTCCAGTAGTTTTTCAGACCAACAATTTCTATCGATCCAATTCCAAACCCTTGTTTAATTAAGTTATAAACATATATAACTTTTGAATTGATCATCTGTTGTACAGAAAATCGTGAATAGGAATTCAAAATGCAGCAAATTCTACCTTGACCAATTAATGAATCCAGATCCTTGTTACAATTTCGAAATCAACCACCAATTTCACTATCGATAAAACAGTTCCCTTTTTTTCTTCCATCAGAGTGTAGTTAATTAGACATCCACTGTTTCACATTTAAACCTAGCTTTTCTAATCTGTGGTTGAAACACATCATTAAAAACGATTTCTTTTATTTCCGAACCGTAAAATTAACTTTCAGAGTGACTCAACCATTATTTGATGAAGATCCATAGTAATTTCTAAAACTACACCGGAACTAACTAATATTCCGGTAATGTAACATTAACTCAAGGATGAGTTTCTTCTTCTCTTTTTGTACTGTCTTTGCCTCACTTTCGGAGCAGTAGATCAATGACTAAATATATTTCGATGACGTGGAATTGTTCTGAGAGTGGCTAATATATCAGTAACGTAAAACTAACTGAAATGTTATTCACTATGACGATGATACCGAAACATATGATATTTTTGGAAATAAAGTTTGTTAAGATCAAATCTTCTCCGGTGTAGTTTGTGAATAGGTAAAATCATCTTCAGGAGTGACTAACAAAGGGAGTCATGAAATAAAATTTTTGTATTAGCTACGACTCCGACAACGTGAATTTGATACAATGGGGAATGTTCCTCCTGACGAAAATGAAGTAGTTTTCATAAAAGAGCTCTAAAACAACGCATTTCAAACTTATCATTTCAACCTTTTTCTTTAAAAAATGATTTAAATACTTAAAAAAGAGGAATGAAATAATGCATTCAACATTTAAAGGGATTCGTTTCTATTTCACCATTTGGCAACATCGGTTATAGCTAATAAAGGGCAATGAATCTGTTACCTGTATGAGACAAACAAAGATGACCTACTTCAGAGGCGTGCTGTTCTGTTTACTTATGTTCCGAGTTCCAAGACATTCTGTGACATGACATTTTGTGCACCTAACCTATCTTTCTCTATACAAATAAATAACAAAATAACTGTTGTTTATGTGGCTTGTGGAGGTGTTATTGAACTATAATTTATATTTTACCTCAAATGTTGATTTATAATGATAATTTTCCTTTTTTAAAGTAGAATATCTAGGTACGTATAAATTATTTCGACTTGATACAGGCGCTGTTGCCAATATGCGAATTAGAAACAAATCCCTTTGAAAATTAAAACCCAACATTTGAAACATCAATTTGAATACTTTTCAAAGTGAATTTGAAAAACTCATGAATTAAACTCAACTTTATTTTTTTTTCAAACTTGCATTTGCTGTAATAACCCAAATTGAGGAACATTCCCCATTCATTGGCAGAATATTACTTTAAAAGTGCGTTCAGCAACGTGAAGAAAGTAACTTTTTGGAAATGGATACAATTCCGGAAAAAAGTTAAAAACAATTTTGAAACCGACTACAGCAATTTCGTGAACATAAATTTTTGGAAGTGACAAAGTAAATAATTAAGGAAATTGACAATATTCCGGCTAGGAAGATTTAGTTTCCAGACTAGCAAATATTCTGGCAACGAAGATATTTATGGACTGCTCTAAAATTCGATAACAAAAAATTATTTTTCAGTGACGTGAAACTTATTTCGGAACTAACTAATATTCCGGTAAAGTAACATTAATTCAGAGGAGTAAATACATTTTGATGACGTGAAATTGTTCTGGGAGTGGCTAATATATCGGTAACGTGAAACTGAGTAGCGATCCCATCCGTAAAATTAATGTTGACAGTGATTAAAATTCCGATAAAGAATAAGTGCCTACGAGCATCCTAAATTCGTCAGGAAGAAATTATTTAGGCAGTAGCTATTATTTCAAAAAACGTGAAAATAATTTTAGCGGTGGCTAATGTTCCACAAAAGTGAAGTTAATTTTTTTACGGTTGCTGGCCCAGCAGTAAAATGTGGCCCAGTAACGTAAAACTTATTTTAGAAGTGAGTAGCTAATGTTCCGTTCCGTACACTTAGGTAATATTCCGCCAATTCAAATTCAATTCAAGGAATCGTGAGATTTATTTTCGGATGACAACTTCGGCAATACGCAACCATTTTTGGGGGTGGCTAATATCCCAGCAACGTGAAATTATTTTTGGAAAGGACTGAAGAACCCACCTTATCCCTGTAACGAGCCTTCATTGCTATATGTAGATCTCTGAAGCGACTGTAACGACGTAGGATACTCCACCTGTCGTCGACTGTCGATATTCTAACCTCGTATTCGTAATGAGTTTTAGTGCCCGTTCCTCGAAGGCAGTAACTCGTTATGCACACTATAGAATCTCGATCTGATTCTGAAACATCAGTATCAGATTTCAATACTTGCCGTAAAATCACCCAGAAATGTAGCAAAACCACTCACCTAAGTTAATGGAAGGCATCGAACGGTATAAGTTCTGTTGATAGGGTAACAGTCGTTGATTCTGTACCTAAAACACAGATATAGATTATTAAAACACACTGCATCGGGTCTTCGGGTGATAACTGGACTTTTTCCTCCGAGATCCTGACTATTTATAGGTCATTCGAGTGCTTTCACCTATCCCCTCTTTCCGCTTCATTGGTTTCAGCGGGAGATGACCGTTTGGCGGCAGTTGGTCGTTTTTGCTTGATTAGAGGTTCCCATATGTTACGTATCTCTACGCTAGCTTAACTAAATGCGTTGTTGGACAACATATACGCGGCTTCTTTGAATTTTCTCTTGAACCAGTGTTCCTCTTTGTGGATTTTTTAAGCTTGAGCCCGCTTGCTATTATGTTGATGAGCCCAAACATGCTCTGCTATTCCGGATTTGCTGGTTTCTCCTCGCTGTGTGTGTTTCTTGTGCTAAACAATGCGAACCTTCAGTGGCCTCTTAGTTTCACCGATGTATGATTCTTCGCACTCGCAGGGTTTCCCGTAAAGTCAATTCTTGGAATCGCAGTCCGCGTTGGTGGCCTGGTTTTCGTGAGGCAAGTCCAGATGTTATACGTGGACCCAATCCGTCTTATCCTTTCCGATAATCTTCTGATTACTCCAGAGCGATAGTAGAACAGGCCCTAGCTAGAAGACAGCAAGAACTACACAAAAAAGAGAAGCCGCCACAACCAGTACTTGTACTTCCCTACATCCCTACATCAACATAACATCAAGTGGGCTCAAGCTGAAATCATCCACAAAGAGGAACACTGGTTTAGGAGAAAATTCAAGGGAGCCGCGTATATGTTGTCCAACAACGCATTTAGTCAAGCTAGCGTAGAGATACGTAGCATATGGAAACCTCTAATCAAGCGAAAAACGACCAACTCCCGCCAAACGGTCATCTCCCGCTAAAACTAATAAAGCGGAAAGAGGGAAGAGGGGATAGGTGAAAGCACTTGAACGACCTATAAACAGTCAGATCTCGGAAAAATAAGTCCAGTTACGAAGTTCCATGTTTGAGGACCGAGTACTGCCTTTGGAGTTCCTTCAAAGCCTGTAAGAAAAACATCAAAATTACTTGAAGCAGAGAAATATTAACCAACGATCGAAATGAGTTTTCTGCTTTTGTTGACAACATAAGACAAAATCAAGATGCGATACTTAAAGAAAACTAACCCTTTTCCTTTTTTGCCATAACAGATAGGCACGTAGACAGACAGACATGAATAAAAGAAATATCAAGTTCTAAAGTAGGGAAATAAATTACTATTATAGTATCAGTACCAGTTGAACCACAGGTTTAATCAACTTATTGGATAAATTAAATTCATCAACGGATCACACTTGGATCAATTTTTATTTGATCATGAAATAGTATTCAACTTATTCTCAATCAAACATGATGTGATCCATTTCTTGGGGCCTGAATTCATTCTTTAGGGTAGTAAGTATTCCATTGACTGCTAAAATCGATTGAAGTGATAATATTTATTGATCATTTGAGCGATCATTCAACCAAATTAATTGAATGATCTGAAAAACCATTCAAACTGTTTTTTTTTTCATGAAAGCGTTAGCAACCAATAGTAAACAAGTGAAATAATTGTAAATTTATATTGAAATATAAGTGCTCTGAATTAGACTTTTGAGTAACTAAATAAAGTTGATTTATTAAATGTATTACAGGTAGTAATAATTGAATTACATCACATAAACTAGATTCTTTCTATTTCAAGACTTCTAAAGTTTGAATTTCTTGAATCAAACTAATCACGTTTAGAATTGCTGAAAAATTAGTCAATCTCGTGTGGATCAATTGATTCATCGATAACTCACTTCAATTAATTTGATCTGATTCAATAAATCAAAACATTGACTGAATCAAAAAGTCGGTAGAATGGGGAATGTTCATCCTGACGAAAATCAATGAAGATGACATATTTCAGAGGCGTGCTGTTCTGTTTACTTATGTTCCGAGTTCCGAGACATTCTGTGACATATAACATTTTGTGCACCTAACCTATCTTCCTCTATATAAATAAATAACAAAACAACTGTTGTTTATGTGGCTTGTGGAGGTGGTATTGAACTATAATTTATATTAATGCCTTAATTGTTGATTTATAAAGATAATTTTCCTTTTTTAAAGTAGAATATCTAGGTACGTATAAATTATTTCGACTTGATACAGGCGCTGTTGCCAATATGCGAATTAGAAACAAATCCCTTTGAAAGTTAAAACCCAACATTTGAAACATCAATTTGAATACTTTTCGAAGTGAATTTGAAAACTTCATGAATTGAACTCAACTTTATTTTGTTCAAACTTGCATTTGCTGAAATAACCCAAATTGAGGATCATTCCCCATTCCCTTGTCTGATCAGTCAAATCATCAAAACGACATTAACTCACCGCAATCTGGCTATCCAACTGATCATTCGGATAATGCCCGTCCAAATTGCGGAAGATGAGCTGCTTCTGCTGCGAGATTCTCTGCGACAACCTTCGCAGAACCTGTTCGGGATCTTTCCTCTTGTTCTTCTTCGTGGTCGGAGAACGGTTCTCCACAGAACTAGTCGACTGCGAATCGCTGACAGCCTACTCGATACCCAAAAAACAAGCACAAACGTGAAACACATACACATGAAGTGGAAGAGAGTCGGGACCGTTTGAAAGAGATTTTTTTACCTTATCGTCGTTGCTAGACAAATCACTGTCGTCACGACGTCTCAGCTCAACCCCGCTGTCGCTCATCAAGTTGTCCTTTGTCCTGGGAGCGCAGGAGATGGGAGAACAGCTGTCGGCTGCTGTATGGTATGTATCGCTGCTGAGTGTACCGGTTCCGTCCCCAGCACTGTCGTTGCTGTTGGCGTAGTTGACTTCGCACGAATCCGGACTCGGAGTGGAATGTATCGGTTTCAGATCCAAACTCAACCTAAAAAACAACTTTGTCAGTCCCCCGGCTTCCTCTTTCTCCAGAGCTGAACCCTATTGAAAAAACTTACCCCCGTTTCCTCGATTCGATGTCCTTCAGTTCCTCTTCGGTTCGTTTGGAGAGTTCGGCTTTTAGATTTAGCAGGTGTTCTTGCTCGCTCTGATCGGAACTGAGGGACTTTTGCTGGTCGACAAGATCTACGATCTTCTTGTCTAGCAGTTCGACGCTCCTCTGCCTCTCGCACAAAGCTTGTACTCTGCGGTTCAGTTCGGTTTGTAGTTCGGCTAATTCTTTCCTCTGACGAGCAATATTTATAGAAATTCAAAGCATCAGAAATCAACAGGTTGGTTGGAGTGTATATTTATATCTTATCAAGATTAATAGATAGTGGCACGATATGTCAAAAGAAAATATAACTCACATGTTTTTCCACCAAGTCCTGTATAATGGACGAACCTTTCACATTGTTCAAAATATCTATGAGATTTCCAGTTTCTTGATAGGACAAGGGAGTATTCTCTGATTTCGAGACCAGTTGCTGAAAGTGAAGATAAACAATCTTTTTCATAAACGTAGATACTTGTTAGAAATTAGGGATATTGTCAAAAATGCGATAATGTCCGACATTTCAAAATTTTGTTTTATTTTTTCAAATAAAAAAGATAGTTTTCCAAGCACAGTCTCCCTCATGTCAATATTGATTTCTTTTAATATCCCTCCCAAAGTATTTCTATCCTTCAGCCCACTGTTTAAACGTTTTTTTCCACTTTCTCTTTCGTTTCACTAATTCCCTATATTTTCTCTAGCATATTTGGAATTGCAGGTCTCATTTTTCGGTACTTGAGCTACCTCTCACGATTTCAATTAATTTGTCCTTTCTCTGGCGCCTTTTTTTCAGTCCTCCCTTTTCTTCATCATCCCACATCTTTTCATCACAGCCACGTGACCTTTCTCCATTAGCCTTCCTTTTCCATCTCATCCCTCTCTCTCACTATATCTTAAGCGGTGTATCTCTTACTTTTATCCTCATACTCTATCTCTCAATCTCCTTTAAACTGTCTCTTTTTCTTTTAAAATCCTGCCCCTCTCTTAAAATATGTCTCTCATATATGTTACCATATCTTCAATATCATATATATGTCACCATATCTTCCATTGCTTTTACCTTTTTTGCTTCTGCCGTCTCTCTCACACTCTTTTCTTTCACTTTCTGTCTATTTTTTTCACAATCTGTCTCTCAATATCTTTCAAACTTTGTCCCTCCATCTGTTTCAATCCCCGCCTTTCTCTTCCCGTCTCAAACTGTCTCACTATATTTTACATTGTTTTTCTTTTCGTCTCTCAAACTTTCTCTCACTTTTTGAAACTAATCATATTTTTCTGTCTCTCTGTCTTTTAAACTATGTTCCAATTCATTTAAAACCAATTCTTAATCATTGTCCAAAAATTTCACGATATTTTTCACAATCTCTTTCTCAATTTCTTTTAAACTTTGTCTCTCCATGTGTTTCAACCCTTGTCTTTCTCTAAAACTCCCTTTTTCCACCTCAAACTATACTCTTCTCTCAGATTCTATGTTTCTCAAACACAATGACTATATTTCACACCCTTTCTATCTCTCCACCCTCTCTCTAACAATTTCACTTTCCCTTAAACTAATTCTCTCTTTCTGTCTCTCTCTTTGTCTATTTCTTACAAACTTTGTCTCTCAATCTCATTCAAACTTTGTCTCTCAATATCTGTCAAACTTGGCCTCTCAATTTATTTCAAACTTTGTCTCTGTGTCACTATATCTAAAATTCTGTTTCTCCCTCTCTCTCAAACTCTGTTCTGAACTCCATCTTTTTGTATCTCTCTCTGAAACTGTCTTCCAATCGGTATCAAACTGTCTCTCAATTTCTTTCAAACTTTGTCTCTCAATCTCTTTCAAACTTTGTCTCTCAATTTCTTTCATACTTTGTCTCTATTTCTTACAAACTTTGTCTCTCAATCTCATTCAAACTTTGTCTCTCAATCTCTGTTAAAATTGGTCTCTCAATTTATTTCAAACTTTGTCTCTGTGTCACTATATCTAAAATTCTGTTTCTCCCTCTCTCTCAAACTCTGTTCTGAACCCCATCTTTTTGTATCTCTCTCTGAAACTGTCTTCCAATCGGTATAAAACTGTCTCTTAATTTCTTTCAAACACTGCCTCTCATCCTCTTTCAAATTCTATCTTTTAATTTATCTCACACACCGTTTTTTTTTAACTATGTCTCTTTCCTTCTCAAACTCTGTGTCTCCCCAAATGTTTATCTCTTTTTCAACTTTCATTCATTTCTAGCAAGTCAAAATTAAAGTTATAATGAACAATTTCAATTACTGAAAGCAAAGAACGATACAGTCGAACTAAAATCAAATAAAAAACTACTCAACTAAAATAAAAGAAATAAAAAAGTACCTGAAACGTATTTTTGGCTTGAGAAGAAGGAAAAGTGATCTCATTCGCATAGGACCTAACTAGCTGACAAGTATTCGCGAATTTCGTTAAGATATCTGCTTTCAAATCTTGCAGTGTGTCACATTCGCGTTCAATCTACACAACAGAAAAGAAAAATAAATAAAAACAACAAAAAACATTCGGTCGGTTCTGTCGGTTGAAAATTCATCCATTTACGCTCTAGTACAATTTTTTTCTAGTCGGTGAATTTTCTTTACCGTCATTACCCGACATTTCTAGTGCATCCACACACCTGTCCTAAAATCAGCTGCCTATCTGTCTCGAGTTTCTCCCTTTTCAAGATCAGTTCCCGTTCTTTCTCCTTCAGTTCAGATTCACGTCTCCTTTGCTGCGAAGCGAGATTTTGCCAATCTTCTTGCAATTGACGAGTCTACAATACGAACAAAGATAAAAAAACACACAGAAAAATCGCTGAGACAAATACATTACCTGCTCCGCATATTCCTTTTGAACAACCTCTTTTTCAGCCTCCAACTTAGCTTGAGCCTCTTCCAGGGTCTGCCTTCGTCTTTCAAACACTTCCTGTCTTTTCTCGAAGGCTTCTTGCTCCTTCTCGAACTGTTCCTTCTCCTTTTCCAAATTCAGTCTTTGTATTTCTATATCACATTTGTCGTCTTCGACATTTCTATTACCACAGAAAAACCATTCATGTAAACAACTAGATCGGAAAAAAGTTTTGCTTATAATAATTTTGAAAATCCAAACACACCCTAATCAAACTCTAAATTATTTGCAAAATGACCTAAATACTTAGCCTCTAGAGAATACTGTTACACAAAATAATGGAAACACTCAATACTGTATCACAAAATTAATCAATTCATGTAAGTGCAGTGGAACAGATCATAAAATGACTGTAGTAGTTCTGGCTGTTCTCTTTTTAGTGTGATATAAAACATAATAGCTTCACATTTAATGTACTGTGTTCAGTACTGTACCAAAGAATGGACGATTCTTCAGTGTTGTTGGAGCGTATACAGTATCTAACTTATACTGTGTCATGAAACAATTTAATGTAAAAATGTGTCATTTGAATAAATTGTATTGTGACTTGGAAATGTTTAGTACTGTTTGGCAGAAGAAAAGTATCTGCCAGTACTGTTGCACGCAAACAGACTTGTAGAGTGAAATACAAAAGTACTGTATGTGCAATAAAACCATTCTCTACTTCGAATCAGGCTGAAAAGAACGATTCAGTGCCACATCACATACTTGAAGAAACATTATTGCAACAAAACAATTTAATACTGTTGTGGTATTGTCTAATTAATCAGTACTCTGCTAAGTACCACAAAATGTTTATAGTACTGTGAGAATTTCACAGATTCCAATAAGTGATACTGTGTTATGAAACAACATGTAACAAGTAAATTATATTGTGGTCAAACAACAATATGTCTTTTTGTTTTTGGGTACTGAAATACAATACTTTAATACTGTTACTTGAATCAACAGTACTGTAGCATAAAAGAATTTAATACTGTTGCACAAAACTTCATGTTATATTGGAATATGGTATAAAATTGGAACTGTATTGATATTCAGCACTCTGCTAAGTACTACAAAGTATTTTATAGTACTGTGAGAATTTCGCAGATTACAATAAATGATACTATGTTATAAAGCAACATGTAACAAGTAAATTGTATTGTGGTCAAACAACAGTATGCCTTTTTGTTTTTGGGTACTGAAATACAATACTTTAATACTGTTACTTGAATCAACAGTACTGTAGCATAAAAAAAATTAATACTGTTGCACAAAACTTATATCGGAATATGGTATAAAACTGGAACTGTATTGATAATCAGCACTCTGCTAAGTACCACAAAGTATTTTATAGTACTGTGAGAATTTCACAGATTACAATAAGTGATACTGTGTTATAAAGCAACATGATGTAATAAGTAAATTGTATTAAGGTAAAACAGTATGCCCCAGCACTGTTCAACACATATAAAGTAATCTGTCTTTCTTTTTGTTGTTGGGTACTGTGAAACAATACTTTAATACTGTTACATGAATCAACAGTACTGTAGCATAAATGAATTTAATACTGTTGCACAAAACTTCACTTTACATTGGAACATGCCACAAAACTGTAAAATTGTTTAATAAAACAAAATAGTATTCAGTACCATATTGCAGAATGTGGTAAAGAATCTTGTGGCGGTATAAAACAAATAGAGCACACGATAATACATTTGTAACAAGAAACAGAACATTTGAATGCTGTCGAACGTAGTTTCAAATTTCCAGCTGAACCGTTGAATACTACAACTCAGAATATTTTAGTGATAAAAATTATAACTTGAGAGAAGTCAACTGAACAAAACTAATCGAAAAAACAAGTAAAACAAACTCACAATTGTAAATTCTCCATCGACACATTCAAATCCGGCGTCGACCAACTCAAAAGGCTCAGCCGCGACAAGTTGTGGGCCTTTTCGTTCTTCCGGAGCTCCGCCGCCTCAGCGGGATCATTGAACCTAACAACAAAACAATGAAACATCCAAAACGAGAAACTGATGCAATTTCCAACCTGAAAACGTGCGCTTTTCCCAGGAAGATGATGCAACCTTGAGAAAGCCTAGCAGGCGATTCCAAATGGTTGTTGTTCAGCATGACCTGCGCCCCCGGATGGGGAATCAGAGTCGCGACGCCATTTTCGAAGGATATGGTGCAATGCTGGGGCTCCATCCCAGCGCCTCGTAGTTCAATGTCCTGTTTGACGTCCGACTCGTCAGTCCCGATAGTGGTTTTGCCTTCCTGAGAAGTCAAAGAATGAAAAAGCACGAAATGACATTTGAATTCACTTAACTCACTTTTAAATGATATAAAGTAACGCCTGTGGTGAGGGGATCATCATCTATGGCTACAAGATGAGGTCTATCGGAATCCAGCACGACTCCGGGACCAGCTTTTCTCAATCCCAATGCCCTCTGCTCTCTCAATATCGCCTGCGCCTCCCTCCATTTTCCAGTCCATTCTTCCGTCAGTTCCTGAAAGAATAAAAACGACTTTTCATTGTTGGGACACAGAACTATGCAGTTCTGTTCAATACTGTAGCATAGAATGGGACAAACACGTATCATACTGCTCAAAGTAAATTTAGAAATGTTCAAGCTCTTTAATACAATGTAGTACTGTTCAAAACAAACTATATCACTAACATGCACAATGCTTTTGGTACTGTGATATGAGATTAAAATGTTTGTACTGTAGCACAAAAGAGCAAAACTGTATCACTAGCACACACAATGATTTTGGTACTGTGACTCGAATTATAAATGTCTGTACTGTAACAAAAGAAAAAAAAACTGTATCACTAACATACACAATGCTTTTAGAACTGTGATATGAAATTTGAATGTTTGTACTGTAGCAAAAAAGAGCAAAACTGTATCACTAATATACACAATGCTTTTGGTACTGTGACACGAATTATAAATGTCTGTACTGTAACAAAAAAAGAAAAGAAAAACTGTATCACTAACATACATAATGCTTTTGGTACTGTGACACGAATTATAAATGTCTGTACTGTAACAAAAGAAAAAGAAAAACTGTATCACTAACATACACAATGCTTTTAGAACTGTGATATGAAATTTGAATGTTTGTACTGTAGCAAAAAAGAGCAAAACTGTATCACTAATATACACAATGCTTTTGGTACTGTGACACGAATTATAAATGTCTGTACCGTAACAAAAAAAGAAAAGAAAAACTGTATCACTAACATACACATTGCTTTTGGTACTGTGACACGAATTTTAAATGTCTGTACTGTAACAAAAAATAAATAAAAACTGTTTCACTAACATACACAATGCTTTTGGTACTGTGATATGAAATTTAAATGTTTGTACTGTATCACAAAAGAGCAAAACTGTATCACTAACATACATAATGCTTTTGGTACTGTGACACGAATTATAAATGTCTGTATTGTAACAAAAAATAAATAAAAACTGTATCACTAACATATACAATGCTTTTAGAACTGTGATGAAATTTAAGTGTTTGTACTGTAGCACAAAAGGGCAAAACTGTATCACTAGCATACAGAATGCTTTTGGTACTGTGATATGAACTTTAAATGTTTGTACTATGGCACAGAAGAGCATGAATATACACAGTTATTCAGCACAGAACAAACGGGTGCAGGCCCAGGTCACGACGGAAAATTCGCCGAGTTGTGGTCTGCGAAAGGCAGGGTTAATAGATTTCACTGAATACCAAACGATACAAAGGATCCTCTTCATCAATGTGAAACAATATATTTTTACCCTGAATTGAAGAAAATGGTGAGCAATTAAATTTTATAGTACTTTAGCATACAATTATGCAGTGTTCTGCTACATAACTATAGTTCGTTTGGTACTGTAACACAATCATAAAAAATGTTATTCAGTTTTGTACCATACAGTTTTTCAATTAACTAGCGTTTTATTAGGATTATAGAGAACATGTATAGTATAAATGATACAAAAAACTATACTGCAAGTACTATAGAAGTGCATCACTAAAAATGTCATTGTATTTGAAACCGCAGAATATGGTTAGTTTTTAAGCACAGTATAAAAAAATCAGTCAATACTGCAATAAATAATCCTCATCCTTTATAAGATCGGTAAAGAAGGAAAAAGTAGTTAAAAAAAATATTGTAGCACAAAACTATGCCACAGAAATGTTCGAAACAAATCGAAAGAACTATATTGTCCAATTCTAGATGGCACTTACCTTTTCCTTAGCTTCCTTCTCGTGCAACTGCGCCAGCATATCAGTCCTCTGCTCGCAGAACATGATAGCCCTCAACTTGCTGATCTCGTCCCTCAGCTCCCTGATCAGTTTGACGTTGGGATCTTCGTTGACCGTCGGCTTGTTGATGATATTCTTGGCCCTGTTCGCGTACCTCAAAGTGCTGATAGTCTCTCCGTAGTTGCAGTCCGCGGGACTGATAGCTGCCAGCATGATGGTCTTCGAATTCCCTCCGAGACTGTCTTTCAGCAGCCAAGTCAGCACCGAATCTCTGTATGGAATGAAGACGGATTTCCTGCGACTCGCCTGATCGACTGTCAATTCCGCCAAGGCCGATATGACCGAACCGAGAGTTACCAGAGACTTGTTGATGTGGGCGCCTTCTTTGAGACGTTGGCCTACCGCTCCCGTGGAGTCTGCTCTTTCGCTGCCCGCCAAATCTACCAGGTGGATCTGATATGGGGACATACATCGTTAAAAATCGCTCTATGAATTGGAAACTGTTCATGTAATTAACTGAAGATTTTGGACACCAGTCCAAGTGATAAATTTTGACACCAGTCCAACTGGTGAATTTGAACCCCAAATTAGCGGATGTATTTGTACAACAGTCCAGGGGATGAATTTGAACACCAGTTTTTTAGCGGACGACCGTCCAGCGGATGAATTTGGACAACGGTCCAACTTATGAATTTGGACACCAGTACAACGGATGAATTTGGTCACCAGTCCAGCGGATGAATTTGGACAACAATACAACTGATAAATGTGGACACCAGTCCCGCAGATGAATTTGAACAACAGTACAACGGATGAATTTGGTCACCAGTCCAGCGGATGAATTTGGACAACAATACAACTTATAAATGTGGACACCAGTCCAGCAGATGAATTTGGACAACAGTACAACTGATGAATTTGGACACCAGTCCAACTGAAGAATTTTGGGCAACAGTCCAACGGATGAGTTTGGACACCAGTCTAACTGATTAATTTTGGACACTGGTTCAACAGATGAATTTGAACACCAGTCCAACTGACGAATTTGAAAAACTAGTCTAACACCAATCCAACCGATGATGAATTTGGACACCAGTCTAACTGACGAATTTGGACAACAGTCTAACTGATGAATTTGGGCATAAGTAAGTAATGAATTTGGACACTAGTCCAACTGATGAATTTGGGCACTAGCCCGAGTGATGAATTTGGGCACTAGCCCGAGTGATGAATTTTGGCCACCTGTCCAACTGATGAATTTGGACATTAGTCCAACATTAGTCCAACGGATGAATTTGGACACCAGCCCAAGTAACGAATCTGGACACCTGCCTAACTGATGAATTTTGGACACCAGTCCAACTGATGAATTTGAACACCAGTCCAACTGACGAATTTGAAAGATTAGTCTAAAAACAATCCATCTGATGATGAATTTGGACATTAGTCCAAGCGATGAATTTGGACAAAAGTCTGACTAAAGAATTTTTGACACCAGTCTACACTGAAGAATTTGTTACAAAAGTCCAACTGATGAATTTGGATATTAGTCCAACAGATGAATTTGGACACCAGCCCAAGTGACGAATCTGGACACCAGTCCAACTGATGAATTTGGACACCAGTTTAACACTGAAGTCAGACACTGAAGAATTTTTGACACCAGTCCAACTGATGAATTTGGACATTAGTGCAACAGATGGATTTGGACACCAGCTTTAGTGACGATTCTGGACACTTGTCTGATGAATTTTGGACACCAGTCCAACTGATGAAAGGCTTGTACCACTTGTAAACCTTTTTCTGACTCATAGTACAATTCCCGTGTACTAACACAAAAAAATTAAAAACTCACTTGTCGAATGTAAGTAGCCTGCGAAATTTGAACATTCACCTCATTTTTGGACAGCCTTGTCTTTACGTAGCAGGGTCTTTACCTTGTGTAAGACCTCATTAAATCAACGTTCTATTGATTTAATAGTTATGCTTTTAATTACTTCATTAATTAAGTAGATGACTTTATATTTGTAACTCCTACCAAGGATTTATGTATTCGCGACTTGCCATAAATGTATTTATAGTATGTAAAATGGTCAAATGAAGTACTCTACTCTAGAACATACAGAGGAGTAGATTTACCTTGGAAACGGTTTCTCTAGGAACTCCTTCGGAATATCCCGCCTGAACAAAAGTTATGGTAAATATAGCATGGCTCCTACTGCTCACGTCATTCATATTAGTGGCAGCCGTCGTTCTGTGGGAGTTCCCCCTGAAAAACAATAAAAATCATCATGAATTTCAGATATCGATATCGACCATCGTTGGATAATAACCTTTCCATGCACTCTTGGATGTGCCCGTAATTGGTAACGAGAACAGTAGTCAAGCCCTGCACGTAGGGCCCCTTTTTGGGATGCTCGCGCACTTTAAGCGAGCCGTTGTCGCGCCCCCTCAACAAATCAGCCACACGCTCTTGGTAGATTTCCAGATAGCTCACTTGGACTCGATGGGTGGTACCTCTTTTCGAATTAACGGACATCTTTTCGAATAGCGCCTTACAAATACGAGGGATCAGACCGGGGTTTTCCTAGAAGAGAAATACACAAATACGGATTCAAAAACTTGGTTTATCAGTCACTTGTACACAAACTAAATACCGTTTTTATCCGCTAACAACCTCATTTGACATTCATAATTCAGTACAAAGTATGGAAACTCCTAGAAATCTCACAGATCTAGTGATAAAACAAAAGATCAAATGTCCCGCCCTAGGTTAGAGATACAGCGCCATCTGTCCGCGAATAGAACAAGCAAAAAAATAAACATATGTCACATATAGAATAACTTAGTTCTGAACGATGGAAAAACAAACTGTATCATGTTCAAAATCTATAACAGTATAGACACACCACAAAACATAATTATGCACAATCGAAAAATCATTTTCAGTGAAGTTTCTAGGCATATACATTGATGACGCTTTAAGTTGGACTTGTCAGATAGACAACCTTTGCCATAAACTATCCTCGGTAACATACGCCATGAGAGTTCTAAAACAAAAATATTGATCCTGAAGCACCAGTTACAGAATATCATGCGAATTTTTACTCCGCTATGAGACTAGGGATAATCATCTGGGGCTCATGTCATGGATTGAATAAAGTTTTCCTGTGTCAAAAAAAATTATCAGAATAATTTTCAATATGAATACGAGAGATTCCTGCAGAGAAGCATTTAAGATCAACAAACCACTTACTGTGTCATCAATTTATATATATATGAATCAATAAAATGTATCATCAATCATCCATGCCATTTTGACATACACCAAAAAACGCATATTTATGAGACAAGACGAAATAAAGACTTTTTATATCCCATCCATGCAAAATATCTATATGAACATAGCACTATCTGTACTGGAATTTGTTATTGTATGATATCTTTCATCAATTTTATATGTATTTGACTATTTTAATACTATTTGTACCCTATATATGTGTATGTGTGTATATATGTATATGTGTATATATTTGTGTGTGTATGTATATGTGTGTATGTATATATTTATGTGTATATATCAATTTGCAACTTTGTCAATAAGACCTAATGTTCCTTGGGCAATAAAGCATATTATTATTATTATGAAAGTTTAAAATAATCTTACGAAAAACCAAAGATATTGTCGTTGCTAACAGATTTCTGAAATCTATAATAGAATTCTTATGTAATCTAGAGACCTACAATACTGATGAATATTTTCTGGCCTGTAGAAATTTATGAACCAAATTTTATTCAAAATTGCGCTATGTATTCATAGAAATTATCTCTACTTTCAGTAATCATGCACAATATGACGCACATTTTAAAATGTTTGTAATCGTGTTTGAAACTTGAAG